CTCCCTTCCTCCCTCCCTCCCTCCCTCCCTCCCTCCCTCCCTTCCTTCCTCCCTCCCTCCCTCCCTCCCTTCCTCCCTCCCTCTCTCCCTCCCTTCCTCCCTCCCTCCCTCCCTTCCTTCCTCCCTCCCTCCCTTCCTTCCTCCCTCCCTCCCTCCCTCCCTTCCTTCCTCCCTCCCTCCCTTCCTTCCTCCCTCCCTTCCTTCCTCCCTCCCCCCCCTCCCTCCTTCCTTCCTTCCCCACTGTCCTGCCGATTAGTCACCTGAAGCTCATTTTCCTGCCTCACCTCGGAGTTACAGGGCTGGAATTACAGGTGTGAGACACTGCAGACTCAGCTGCAATATTTTGAAAATGTTTGTTTAAAAAGTTTATAGATTTCAATTTACTTTAATGGGTATATAAAAATGTAAAATGTTTACGTGTGTGAGGCTTCACATGATGTTCTTGCATATGTAAATATATTGTGTAATGTGAAGTTTGCTGGACATATCTCTCCTCAGACATTACCATTTCCTTACAGCAAAGGCATTCTGAATCCTTCTGGCTCTTTGAAGGGCAGAGGCAGTATCATGATACTTGAAAACTTGCCATTTGTATTTCACTGTTAACTTAGTGTGCCTGGATCCGCCTCCCATCTCTGCCCCTTCGCTTAGGATCCATGGGTACTTGTTCTCTGGACATAAAACAAAATGCTCCGGGGAGTGAGTGTGTGGCTGGGGCCTCAGAAGGCTCTCCTGATACAGGGACCTCGGGCTGCCTGCCGGCCTTTCTGGGGACTGGCACCCGCGCCATCAATACCAAGCGAAGTGACGCCCGCCGCGGAAGAACAGTGGTGTCGGGACGGCTCCTTGCTTACCCTTCCTCTTCCGGGGTTTAATTGCGCTCACAAAGGCAAGCCCGAGGCCTCTGAAGCATCCCTGCGGCAGTCACAAAGGCAGGGAGACTTCAGGCGATGGCCACAAAGCAGCCTTCACTCTCCCCCATTGTGCGCAGCAGCTACAACAGCCTCAGAGCCGGCGGGAGTCTTCCATATCTCATATGTGCGGCAAAGTGGAGGAACAATGGGACAAATTATGAACAAGCTCAGAGCGGAGCTGTGGAATTCTTCCCTTTGTGAGCCTCCCTCGCTGTCTGCTGGGACTGCTGGCCCGAGGGGCACACGGGGGTGGGGACATCGCAACAGCAGAAGGCCAGCCAGGGTCCCCTACCTCATACCCTGGTGGCAGCATTAAACACTTAGAAAAGGACCGCGGCAGAATCGAGGAGAAAGCCCTCAAGATGTGTGTCTGCTGAAGTTGTTATTCACAGTAATATAAGAACAAAGCTGCCCTGGGTGGCCATGTTTCCCGCCTCTGCTTCCTCTCCTGTGGCCTTGCCTCTCAGACGGTTGAGTTCACCATCAGAAGAGCTGGCTTCCCCCTGGCTTCCCCCTGGCTTCCCCAGCTTTGCGGGACTAGGATGGTGTTTTCCCCGGATAACAAGAAGCAAGCATCCTTTAGGCAAACAGCTTGGGAACACACCATTAATCATTTTAGTGTTCCAGGTGCAAATTCTTAAGTTAAGGGTGACCCTTTCTTTTTGGTCAATAGCTGTTTTGGCAAGGTCTTAATTGTAATGATTTCTCTGTCACTTAAGAGGCACTAAGGAAGTCACACCTTTGCTGATGTCCTAAGTAGCTCCAAGAAGCTTTTATTTGATAATGGGTCATTCAGGAATGGCGCTGATGGAGACAGGACTCACCGCAGTTTTGTGAAGTCTTCACAAAGCTTGGGAAAGTAAAGGGGGAAAAAGAATCCAAATTTAAGTCATCTCTTATTGAATGTCAGACATCTGGAAAGGGCTCCTTCAACGTTACAGAAGAATTAAAACAAAGTGACACATCCGTCTTCAAATTAGCCACAGACACAGTAATGTGACAGCCACTGCTTTCTTCCTGAGTATCAGAAGAAATACTGTGGGTTTGGGGCAATTAGGACAATTCCTTTCCTGGTAAGACTTTGAATATTTATTAGCCTTTTAAAGAGTGGTTAATGTAGGTGCCACAGGAAACAGGTGCACCTCTGCAGACAGAACTGGGAGCCCGTGTGGTGGGGATGGATAGGGAACAGTCCATAGTACCTTCGCAATAAACTGAAATTTCTTGAGAGCTGCAGCTTGATTGCATGCTGAGCACCCATAGGCCCTCCTAGGTCAGTGTTTCATAAGGAAAAGAATGCCAAGACTTGTCCTGAGCAAGGTCAAAAGTCAAGGGATAATGAGCCAGTTAACAGGAGAAGCTGGAGTCATAAAGATGTTCAGCCATGAAGAAGGTATGGTCTCTGCAGGGAAGCTTCATGAAACAGGAAGGCAGGACCTCTGGGGACCCGTGAGGGACACATTTAGAAGGACAGGGAAGTGTGGGCAGTCCAAGAGATGCAGATTGTGACCATGCAGCACTTAAAAACAAACAAGCATCTCTAGTGTCCTCAGTTTAGCCCAGGCTTCAGAACCCTCAACTTGAGCGCTAGGCAGACATTATTGGTGGTTCAGAGTTAGGTTGTAAAATTTGGTCCTCCTATGGAGAAGTGACCTGCGCAGACATCCGGGTCTGAGAGGAAGCATGAGGCAGGAAAGAGTAAAGATTCCTGCTGTTGAGAATAATAGAGACTGGGAGGATGGTGGCCTTCCATCTCACACCATCAGAAAATACCAGCGATGGAGGGGGATAAGATTAGAAGTTATTGCCTCTATTTCTGACAAATGCTTGTGTGTTTTCAACCAAATGAGCCAAACTGTAAGCCACTTGGCAAACCGTTTATTCCAAATGCCATACACTCTGTGCTATTAGTTGAAATGGGGCATCACTATTTTGCCAAAGGAGTATTATGCCCCCACAGAATTTCCTTTGCAGCACCCTTGAGTAAAAGCCAGAGAGGGACATGGCCAGCCTGGCACGTAGAACTTTCTTTGGAGAATAATTGGCAACTTTGTGATAGCTCCTTCTTCGCCTTCTGCCCCACCTGCTCCTCTGGGAACACAGGGAGGGCAATTTTGGACAAGAGAGTCTGCAATGTCCTGTGTCTTCTCAGAGCTTTAGTCGCCGTCCACAAGCCCCACAGACCCCTAACAACAGGCTGAGGCTGCATCCAGTGTGGATGGTTTGACGCTTTGACACACACTAGAGGACTTGCCATTTACCTTCCTGGTACACCTCTTCCTCCCTAACACCCAGTTAAGACAGATCACTCCCCTGGTCAGTGAGATATGCCCAGACCACAGATGCTAAATAAAGCCAGGGACAAGGCTAAATTGTATCTTCCAGTACTGGGAATGTAGCTCAGTGATTCAGGGTTGGGAGGGAGGGAGGGAGGGGAGGAAGGAAGGAGGGAGGGAAGAGCATTTCCTAGAGGCACAGACACTCTGCATTCCCACCTTCCTTCACTATTATGGGCTTGTTTTGGTTTCTACCCATTCTTCACAGCTACATATAAGAAACAGACCCCCAAGTCAGAGAATCCACACGCCAGGCACATATGTATCCTGGAGACCATCAAAAGTGCCCTCCCATCCCCCGCATTCCAAAGGAGATTACTAACTGTCCCCAGAGAAGGGGGCCTGTTGAAAAGGAAGAGACCCAGTTTATATGCTAATCTCCCAATGGCAAGTACTTCTCTTGCCAGATCTACGAGAGCGAGGGGGGTGAGAAACAACTTCTAAGTCGCCACAGGGCAAACACAGCTTCTACCCCAAGCTCCGGGCAAGATTTCATTTTAGGAAGGCAAAGATGGCATCTTTTCTTCTTTAGCTTGAAATTACGAGGTGTGTCAACTTTCGTTCCTCCTTTGCTCCCAAATGGAGGCTTTCTTACCAAGTTTTGTTTCCCCACAAGGGAAGGCAAACTCATGGCCCTTGGCTCTGGCCTGCAGGTCTTCCACCCCCAGGCTTTTGTGCTCTCAGAGACCCTGGTGCTCCCTGGAGAACTGCACTGGACAGGATTAGCCCACGAGTCACAGTCTTTAAGGAATAATATCTAACACCTTGTTCCCTTTCTCAGTTCAAAAGCCACTGCCACCAGGGTACACTGGTGGATTAAAAAAAAAAAAGACTATAATTCATATGCAAACTAGAGGAGGATTTTCATGATTTCATAATAAAATGTTGAGACGCTTTGATCTGGAGTTGTAAGGAGCTGTGAAACAGTGCCTCAGAAACAGACAGATATTTGTGTAAGCATCCTTTATGTATTGCCAGTGCGGAATAATAACATATCAAAGCCCCAACTTACCTCATCTGCCTGGTACAGCCAAGGCATAAATAAAGAGGAACAATGGAATCACTATTACTCACTCTCGGAGAGCCAGCGACATCACTGTATCCTTTATAATTGCTGGCAAGAAGATTAATGTTTTGTTAAATATCAGAGCAAGGTCACAAGGGGGCTCGCAGGCCTGTCTAAACACCCAGTCTTTAAGCTCCTTCCTTCTCACTTGCTTTATTTTGGAAATGAACTTGTAGCATTTCATCTAATGATGGTGATTTTGCCGTTGAAAGATGGGGCTGCCATCGCCACCTCGCTCCGAACACACATAACACTCCCACGCACGCTCACACACTCACATGCATGTACATACCATAAAGCACATATACCTTACACACACACACACTCACACACACATCACACATACACCAGACACATGTGCATACACACACACACCACACAATGCACACACACACACACACACACACACACACACACACACACACACACACGTTTTCTCTAAATGGTATTTTAGGAACAGGCTTGGTTTGACTGCAGCATATGGACAATGTTGTTATGAGGCAACCTTGTCCTTTGAACCAACATGGATAATTTATTGCCTGTCACTATGGTCCAAAGCAAGGCGTGTGTGCTTAAGAGATAGACTTTATTGGGGTGCAGGGTCTCTTTCCCCTCCCTCCCAAAGACCTCCATCATTCCCTGTGCTTCTGTTATGTTTAGCCTGTATGTCTATCCATACAGATGTTTCCAACAGCAAACAGTTCATGACCCAGAAAGAACAAAATATTTTGGCTTGCCCTGGCTTTCAGCACCTGTTTAAACCAAAGGCCCTCGGATTCTCTGCTCAGGTCAGAAGGCCCAGCCAACAACTGGAGAGGGGCTACAAAGCTGTAGAGACAGTCTTCCGGGGTGGTGTCAAACCCAAGACCCCAAGCCAATGTCAAGGACCCTTACTGCCTCAGTTCCCAGATGAGGAAAAGAAGATAAAAAGCAAGCGCACAGAAGAACCTTAGAAGTATCTGCCAGCTTGCCTTCGTCGCACGAGGAATTGACCTCCAGAGTCCGCATCCATCTCCCATCGGCTGCTCCATATTTTTCCAGGCAGTGTCGCATCTGTGACAAAGCAGCCTGTGTCGCACCGAGCTTCAGTCGTTGTCATCTGAGCAGCTGCGGTAGCCTTGGCAAGTTCTTCAGGATTGACAGGTTGACTCTGGGGACATGGATGCTCTTTACATTCTTCCAGTGGGAACAGTGCCCGCACTTAGAGGGCTTGAGATCCACAAGAAGGTCTTACATGATGTGTTGACATCACAGCAGGGAGCGATGGAGGCCACCTCTCCTCTCACATCTGGCAGAACTGGAAGAGAAGCACTGAGTTGCAAAGGGATACCAGGTGCCTGTCAAGGGATTTCTCTGTCTCTCCCCTCTGCCCTTTGCCTGGAAAGGGGGGGTTTTAAATTGCAGCTCTAATTTTAAGGTGATCTGCTTATTTGTTTGTTTGTTTGTTTTTCCTTGAAGCTTGAGGGGAATTAAGAAGACAGCTTGGTATGAGGTGGGTGTAAGAGGCAATTAGATGTGAAAGGAGGGTGTCCTGATTTGGGGGGCTTGCCACAGCTTCAACAATCTCAGTGGCAGCTGGAGCATAGAGCCACAGTTACCATGTGCCCTCTTGCCTCTGTGTGAATGGGGAAAGGGGTGCTCCAGCCAGCATGGGAGCCTATGCTTCCTGGGTCTTCGGGCCCTCAATAAAATGTCGAATCATAGAATGGACAGACAATGGGCTGGCAGAGCAGGGAGGAGACAGATGGATAGGTGATAGTAGAGACCAAACTCAAAGTAGACTGCAAAAGCAGCCATCCAGCTCTGCCATGACCTGTAGTACAGATCTGGCCCACTACCTGTTTTCGTAAATTAGGTTTCATTGGAGCACAGCTAGGACCATTCCTTTATGTTTTAGTCTGCTTCCATGAATTGCATTATTATTACCCAGGGCGTGTAGCCTATGAGCTCTATGTTTGTTAATAGAAATAAGTATACTAACTCCTGCAATTGAAACTTCTGCATCTGGGGGTAGATGGCACTGTGGCATGGGCTAGAGACAGTGCCTGAGGACTTTGTTTCCAAGACCCACACTCAAATACAGTGGAATTCTTTTTTTAATAAATTATTTATTTTGTGAGTCACGTTTGTTACAGCGCTTGTGTGGAGCTCAGAGGACAACTCGCTTGAAGGCTTAGCAGGAAGCACCTTTATCCACTGCGTCACCTATCAGCTCAGCGACGTGGGATTCTCCTTTGGCACGGGAAAGAACTTCAGGGTAAGCCAGGAAGAAAATGGGTTGTAGTTTCTCCAGAAGAGACTATGGCAGAGATTTAAGCAGGGTGGGAATAGAGAGATGCTCAGGGTTGTAAGCTGTAAGACAGAACCACGAGTCACCAGGGTTGTGCAGTGGGTTAAGACACATCTTACTGTAATGGAGTTTCTTGTAAGAGTCCCATAACATGGTAGATTTAGATCTGAGAAAAGAGAAAGGCCCTATACGCTCAGGTCTTAGGCATGGTCAGTGGACTATTGAAGCAGTGATTATTTTAACATTCCTTTTTTTTTTAAGTATTGTCTATTTTGACAACCTTTCCAGCAAGTGTTCTTTAGGTTGGGATTCTTAACTCTTATCTGGAAAAGGCTTCAGTCAGACTCAGAGGTGAAGGTTTTCTGTCTCTTGCTTGTCCCCGAAATATCCCTTTCAATTTTGCCTCTTGTGTGAAGGTTTCCTTCTTTTTTCTTTGTTATTATTTTTGTTTTGGGACAGGGTTTCTCTACACAGCTCTGGCTGTCCTGGAGCTTGCTATGTAGACCAGGCTAGCCTTGGACTCACTGAAATCCTCCTGTCTCTGCCTCCTGAGTGCCTGTATTAAAGGCATATGCCGCCACATCCAGGTTGGGTTTTTGTTGTTGTTGTTGTTTGGTTTTGTTTTTAAATAAGCATGTCTTACTGCGTGGGTTTTTTTTAATTACTTTTGTTGATTTGTGTATATTCATTGTGTTCTGTGAATGTGTGCACACTCGTGTGAATATATACCATGGTGCACAAGTGGGGGTTGGAGGACAACTCCTAGAGGATGGTTCTTTCCTTCCACAATGTGCGTCTCAGACACTTGGCAGCAAGTATCTCTTTATCCATTGACACTTCTCGGTGGCCCTGGTTTGTTTTTTGATAGGAATTTATTATGGCATGAGTATGATTTGTTCTTCTAACAGCCACTTTTAAAATTTTATATTTGAGATTATAATATAGTTACATTTCTCCTTTCCCTCTCTTCCCTCCAAACTGTCCCATATGCCCTCCCCACTTTCCTCCAAATTCATGGTCTCTTTTCTCACTAATCGCTATTGTATTCATATATGTATTTTGACATACATTCCTAAATATAAACTGCTCAGTTCATATAATGTTATTTGTATGTATGCTTTCAGGGCTGACCATCATTTGGCACTGGACAACTAATGGGTGTGCTTTTTCTTGGGGAAGACCTCTCTATCTCCCAGCTTTCCTCAGTTGCCCACAATTCTCCTGTAGGGTTGAGGCCTGGTGGCCTTTTCCCCATCCTCGTTGGCAAGTCCACTGGTGTCATCCTTGTTTAGCTCATATTTGGGCAGTCATGTTAGTGAGGCTTTGTGACCCTGGCTTCCAATATTACTAGGAGACACAATCAGATACAATCTCACAGCAAACTCCCTGATCCTCTGGCTCTTACAATCTTTCCATTCCTCTTCCAAAATGTTCCCTGAGGCTTGGTTGGGTGTTAGGGTGTTTGTAGATGTATCCACTGGGACTGGGTTCCACAACTTTGCCTTTTCATTGTTTTTGGTCTTCTGCAGGAGTATGCACTAACAGCCATTTCTTACTGCTTGGATCTGATTTGAGTGTGTCCCAAGGACTTGTCTGTTGGAAATTTCGTCCTCGGTTTAGTGATGTGAGGGAGTGATAGACACTTTAAGAGATGGAATCCAGTGCAAGGTGATGGGTTGGCTGAACACCATCATTGGAAGGAGATGGTTACTGTGAAGCCCCCAGGTAGTAATAAAAGGACAAACCTGGCCCCTATGTCATTTTCCATGTCCTCTTTCCTATGTGCACACGCTTCCATCATGTTATCCAGCAGGCAAGAGAACTTCTCACCTGAGCCAACTCTATGATGTTAAGACATGCAGCCTCTAAAGCTGTAGGCTAAAGAGATTTCTTTCTCCACACATTAGCCAGCACGGGGTAGTTCATTATAGTAATGGAAAACAGACTAAAACAATAATAAAGCCATGTCTTCACATTTAACTTACATGAACTCTAGTGAGTATGCCGAATGGTCAGTAATTAAGTAAGTATGTTTTGATAGAGAAGGCCGATAAACCAAGCCAGGCACTTTATCTGCTGCTCGCATAAAGTCATGAACACCTTTTCCACTGCAGAACAAAGAAGAGTCCAAGGTGTTGGCCTTGTTGTCGTTTGAGAGTCCGCCAGGTATACACCAGATAACCTTGCGTTGTTGAGAGGATTTTAACGTTGACGTTAATGTGATCTTTTGGGGGATTCTTTTGGTTCTGTGGCTATCTTTTCACTGTATCACATGCTCTTTAGAAGCTGAGAAGTTACTCCCACAGTGCTTCAGAGTCTTATAACCTTAGCTAATAAATATGAGGAGTGGGATTATTGAAATCACCCAAGCGTGCATGCTGAGTCTTCCCTCCCTGCTGCGCTGGGAGATGCACCTCACTTTTCTTCCTAAGACCTGAGAGGAAGGATACAATGGCTGCTGTGATAAGAGAAATTGTGTTCCTTTGACACATCAGTGGGTGAGGAGACCAGAGTGGTCCTTGGATCTCTACTGTCGGTTTGGAGTCCTTGGACATCAGCAGTTGGTAGAAAGGTGACAAGAGCATATGAGACTGTCTGAGAACACAGCCCCTGAAAGCAACCACATGAAAAGTCCAGCTTGAGCCATCTACGTCTTAGAGATGTCACATGAACTTGGCCAAAATGAGCCACAGGAGGAAAACTAATGGCATCAGTCAGCTAAAAGAGATGCCCCAGGAAGGCGGATGGTATTATTTCCTGTTTCATTTGTAATGGCCACATCCTGTAGTATACAATGATGTGTGTGAAACCTTACTGGCCATCAGTTAACATTACCACCTCATTCCCCCTTAGACACTTCGAAGGCTTGGTAGCTTCCACCATGCCCTCTAATAATGCCCATCTCCTGCCACTCATCCCTTTGCTTTGGGGGTGAGCAGATCCCAAAAGCAGGAGTTTGCTTCTAATGAACAAGTCTGCAGAAATGGTAAGCTGTGTTGTCTGGGGCTAGGTTACAGAAGTCTGCAGATTCTGTCTTGTTCGTCTTCTTCTTGTGTCTTACCTGCTCTGCTGACGCCAGCTGTCATGGTGTGAGCTGTCCTGTAGTGAACGTCTCACGACTGGCAAGTAAGGGTTTCTAGTCAATAGCTAAGAAGGAACTGAGGCTTCAGCCTACCAGGCCACGTGGAGGTGAATACAACAACCGTGTGTGTGTGTGTGTGTGTGTGTGTGTGTGTGTGTGTGTGTGTGTGTGTCCCCTTTCCTGATGGAGACATAAGTCAGCTGCACACCCTCCCATCTTCATCTATGAACAATCAGCATATATCTGGCATCTTTTGTTTTGTTTTTCTTTTGAGACTGAAAAGAATCTCTAAGCTAGGAGTGAGTGACAGATTTATTCTGTTACTATCTTGCTGGAGAAATTCTGTTCTGGTTGCTGCTGTTGTATGAGACACGATTCAACACTCAGTGACTTAAAACAATGCAATTTTTATTTTTCTCTTGGTTTTTTTTTTTTTTTTTGTGGATGGGTTGCCAGGGATAGTACCCAGAACCTTATGTGTGTTAGCAGGTGCTCTACCCCTGGGTTATAGCTCCAGTCCTCTGGATTCTTTAAGTCAGATATTCGGGCAATGTGTGGCTGCAAGTCTGCCTGGGCCCCATTGGATATCACACAGAGGTACCTGGCATGGGCCACCTGCACCTGTGTGGGGGGCTTTAACAAGAGTAAAGGTTGACACTGTGAGGCTTCATCAAAGCTGCCACCCTCCCTAGCTCACTCCTAGGCTAACCTGGCTTTTCAAATTGCAGCTGGCTTTCCCAAGAATACGGAGCTCCATCTCATTGCTCCTCTAACATGGTTGTAGATTTGAAAGGCACAATGGCAATTGAATGCCTTAAACAGCCAAGGGCACATTTGACTTTCTTGGTGTTGCTAGATAGGGTGTCATGGGGCTAGGGATTTAGCTCAGTGGTAGAGCGCTCGCCTAGCAAGCTCAAGGCCCTGGGTTCGGTCCTCAGCTCTGAAATTTAAAAAAAAAAAAAGATAGGGTGTCATTATGTAGCCCAGGCTGTCCCTAAACTCATAATCCTCCTGCCGCATTTCCCAAGTGCTGGAATTAAAGGCATCTGCCACCACGTCTAGCTACAATTTAACTCTTTTTGTTTTTATTTTGAAACATGTTCTCAGGGAGCCCAGGCTGGCCTCCAACTTGTTATGGAGCCAGGGATGACCTTGAACTCCTGATCCTCTTGCCTCTGCTCCCAAGAGCTGGGATGAAAGACATGTGCCACCACATCTAGCCACAATTTAACTTTCAATCAAACAAAAGTTTACAAAATTTATTGATCCATGAGTTCTTATCCTGTTTATATCAGAAAAATCATGTGACACTTGGGAAAAAGGCAAAAGGGCAAAAAGAAAAGAGAAGATGAAGAAGAGGAGAAAGAAAGGAGAAAAGAAAAGAAAAAAGTTACCAGGCCCTTGCAAATGTGGTTAGTGTGACTGAGGAGCTGAATTTGAACTTTATTTCATTTTGATTTGTTGAAATGTGAAAGTCAAGAGGGCACAGTAGACCCCATGTTGGACGACACAGGGCTGTGGAGATGCTCTTGGTTCATCTCGGTGTTGACTTGGATCAGCAGTCTCAGATGTGGAGAAGTCATTCTGTCCCCTGGGACTTTCAGCGGCTCATTCAGCCTCCCTGACACCCAGAATGAACTCGCTATCAAACAACTGTGTGAGTAACCCCTGACCCACAACGACAGGACACTCTGCAAACTGACGTGGTTCTGACAGACTGTGAGGCTCACATTTGTGCAACATCTTTTCTGGGCCATGGTGTACCTAGAGTTCAACAGAGTTTCTAGCTGTGTTTGAGAACAGTTCTGGAAGAAAGAAACATTTCAGTTGATGGACCGACTGAAGAGGCAGCCTTCTCAATGAGATGGCCCTGTGCAATCTCTTCGGGTACTAGACAAGAGGAAAAGGCAAGGAGGCAAGAAGGAACGAACTCAGCCTGGCTGCCTCAGCTGGGACACTGACTCTCCCTGCTCTCAGTGTTCCTGGTTCTCTGGTCTTTAGGGCCTCATTGGACACTACGCTGTATTGGTTACTTTTCTCATCTGTGACAAAACACATCTCTGAGCCCTATGTGAAGAACAGGTTATTCAGATTCACAGTTCCAAAGGGAAGAGTTCATCGTGATGAAGAAGGCATGGTGGCTAGAGAGGTTCTCTCTGTAGCAGTGAGGGCATGTGGTGGTGACCTCATGCATCTTGTCATATCAAGAAGCAGAAAACATGGGGGAAAGGAGCCAGGAATAATTTACCTCCAAGAACATCCCCTCAGTTACACACTTCCTCCAGCTAGGCCTACCTCCTATTGGGTAGCAATTAACTCCAAGATAAACCTCCTTCATGGAAGGAAGACCTATGATGCTTTAAAGAGAGGTGAAACATTCCATCCTGCAAAGAAGATCATTAAACGCAAGAAGTAAACTGAAAAGCATCAGGAAGCCCCTGAAACACAGCATATTCACTAGGCCCCTCCTTCCCCAGAGAAAGCAGTAAAGACTGCTGAGAGACAATCTCAGTCCAGCCAGGTGAACTTAAAGACACAGAGAGCAGCTGAGCTCTGTTAACAAGGCTGACTCTTAAACTAAGCTCTCTAGAGAAAGTCAAGGCCAGCCAAGCTGCTGGAAGAGACTGTGACCCGAAAGAGACATTCCCCAACTGGTTGATCTGCAAATTGTGCAGTAGGCTCCAGGTTTCCAACACTCCGGAACTGTCTGTCACTCATGTTAGAGTGAGCTTTTAGTAATGTAGCTTTGTTGTTTCTGCTGCTGTAAGTAACCCTTCACTCATAATCCCACACATAACCCCAATAAAACTCACTGATTCACCAGGTTGGTGGAACCCTTACTTTGCGTGTGTTGGTTCTTTATCTGGAGTGAATAGTGTCATACTCCAGACTTCTCAAGTAGGCCACTAGCTGGGAACCAAGTATTTAAACACATGTGCCTGTCAGGGGCATTTCTGATGAAAATCATTACATGTGCCACCTGTCCCCAGGTCCTCCTGTTCTCAGGCAGTTCTGACCTCCAGGTGCATGTGACTAATCATGTGATTTTTCAACCTCCATAGTCACATGAACCAATGTCTTTTTTTTTTTTTGAGACAGGGTTTCTCTGTGTAGCTTTGGAGCCTTTCCTGGAACTCACTTTGTAGCCCAGGCTGGTCTCTGGTCTCGAACTCACAAAGATCCACCTGCCTCTGCCTCCTGAGTGCTGGGATTAAAGGCATGTGCCACCACTGCCTGGTGAACCAATGGCTTAAAATGTCTATTAGTTCTGTTTCCATGGATGACACCAACTTATACTGAATCAGATTCTCAGTGCAGGCCCTGGTCCCTGGAAGCCCTCCATGGTTTCTGCTGCTTACCCTTGCTGTGTCATGATGATCACGTGTCACCAGCGGTGGAAATCTGAAGAATGAGGTCACGGCTTGTTGAGACAGTGATGATACTGAGTGAGAGTTCTGAAGTCGGACTGCAGCATTAAAACCTGGGCTCAGCCAACCCCGTGACGCTTCTGGGGTCTGTGTTTCTTTCTTTTTAAAACCTTGTAGCTGGGCTTTCTTTTTATTTTGCTTAGATGTTAATTAGGAGAGGGATGTGTACTTCATAAACAGATCAGTATAAAAACCAACCCTTAGGAAAATAAGCTGCCATTAAACTCCACTTCATTCTTCTATTTGTTCCCTAATTGAAGACCCAGCATCAGTACAGGCCAATGTCACACCAGAAACTCCAGGGGAAGCCAAGTGTACTCACTTTTTTATTTAAAAAAAAATATCCTTTCACAATTTTATACATATATAATATATTTCACCAGTTTCTTTTCCTGTAAAATTGAGAGCAATAAGAAAGCCTGGTAAGGGTTGTGGTTAATACCTGCAGGGCTGAAGAGCACACAAAGACCCTTGACATGCAAGGTCAGTCTCTATGGGTTCCAGACACTGCTGTACCCTGTGCGCCTTACCATCCCCACCCCAGTGAATAACCACCAGTGCTAGTCATCTTTATATAACTGTAACAAATACCAGAGATAGTCAATTTAAAGAAATCAAAGGTTTATTTTGTTTCATAGTCTATGGTCAGTTGGTTCTGTGGCTTTGGGTCCTACGAAATAGCCTAACAAAGTCATCTATCTCATATCCAGGAAGGAGGCAAAGGAACCAGAGCCAGGTCCTACCTTCAGGAGCACATTTACAATGAATGACCCGAATACCCTTCACTAGGCCCCGCCTCTAACAGCTCTGCACCAGCCCCCAACTGAACCACACTGGGCCTTTGGAGGATGTTGAAGATCCAAGCCATAACTCCCCCTTCTGCAGCTAGAGACACTCATTGGTGATGCCATCTCTCTTCAGGAGGGCAGACCAAGGAAAGAAGGGCACACAACTGTAGACAGGATGCCCAAGACCTTAAGCAGCCCAGTGTGAGTCCAGAAGAGAGGAAGTGGACACAAGCCTAGATTCTTTCTCCTCACAGTGGGGAGAGGTACAGTCATCAGAGAACCAAAACAGAGGTCATGAACTGTGCTTGCAACCTCGGGCACACAGTGCCCAGGGCAGGGCCCCTCTCACAGGGCTCCAAGTTGGGTCCTGGAAGTAAAGGTCAAGTAGCCGGTAAGAACAGAGCAGGCACCTGTTCAAGACTTGGGACATCCCTACCACACTTCCCTTCAGGTCCACAGTGGTGTCCAGCTGTGTAAGGCCCAGCTGTCTCCTGAGCCTGTGACCTACCAGCAGATGACAAAGAACATACTTTATTTGAATTGGAGAGGAAATGAGGCTAGTTTATCTCTTCAAAGAGAGTTCAGGGGCTGACAGGATGGTGAGAGACCCAGAGAGAAGAGAGGCTGCAAGATCCCAGAGGCCATCGTATTCTGAATTCATAAGGTCAAACTTTACAGCCCTGTTGCTGCCACAGCTGATAAACCTTATCAAAGATCCGCTGTCTGATTTCTGCCTTAACTTGAAAAAGACTTCTGTATTTTTCTTATAATGAAAGTCACAAGTGAACAATGTGTGACCAACGCATTAAAGAGGTGGAAACAGGTATTTAAAAAGTACTTATGTGTAAAGAACTATACATCCAAGCTGTCAAAGTGTAAGTTACTAGGATCCATGAAGAAAGGGTTCCAGAAAAGGGACACACATCAGGGCATATTTGGGCTGAATCTACAGTGAGGCAAGAGAGGAATCTCCAGATTTAAAGAGACATTCACTCTGCATGGTACAGATACCGGTTGCCATAGAAGACTGCACCCCTTAAATTCAAATCCTTAGTCATTTGGTAGCCTCATTTGAGACTTCAGTATGCAATGGGACCATATTATTTTACTTTACTCTCATTTTTAAAAAAAGGAAAGAAAAAAAAAACAGTATATCTGCCTACTTATCAAAATTTTCAGTTTATAATACACTATTGATGACTGATGGCCCAGTATCGTCCAGCACATTTCTGAGACTTAATCATCTTGTGAAAGCAAACATTTTGCACCCTGATTGTCAATTTTTTCCTCCCTCCAAACCCCCAGTGACCATCATTCTATTCTCTGAGTCTATGATTTAAACTCTAAGTTATTTAGCATATTTACACAAGAAAATGAGACATTACTTTTTTCTTCTGTGATTGGTTTATTTCACTTAGCATGATGTCCTCCGGTGCCATCCATATCGTGACATAGTGTGGGATTTCCTTCTAAAGGCTGCATAGTATTCCATCATGTATTTTTTTAAAGGTTTGCTTTGTTGTATTTTATGTGTGTGAGTGTTTGCCTGGATGCATGCCTGTGCACCATGTGTGTGCCTGGTGCCCTCAGAGGCCAGAAATGCTAGAGCTCCTGGAGTTCCAGATTGTTGTGAGCTGCCACATGGGTCCTAGGAAGATAGCCCAGCTCCTCTGTAAGAGCAGCAAATGCTTCTTCTACCTTCTGAGCCTTCTCTCCACCTCCCCCATGACAGCTATTTTATATATAATAAATATGCATGCATCTGTGAGCACATAGGCATACACACATTTACTCGTCCACTCATTCCTTGAGGAGGTTTTAAATATAAGAATTGAAAACTGCAGAACACCTAGAAGACAAAGGAAGATGCTCCTGCTGTTGGCCTGGCAACACGTTCTTGGGTGTGCTCCTAAAAGCACAGTCAACCGTAGGAGAGACCGACAGGAGAAAGCACAGGGAGCTCAAACGCTCTGCACTGCAGAAGAAACTGGACAGAATGGAAGGTTGTCACGGAGCAAGGAAAGATAGACATAAACCATCTGTCCCATGAGTATTTGACTTCCAAAATAGACAAAGTGCTACTTCAACTCAATAGCGGGTATAAATAAGTGGATTAAAAATGGCCTTGAGGGCCAGTGTGGTGGCGCACGCCTTTAATCCCAGCACTCAGGAGGCAGAGGCAAGCAGATCTCTGTGAGTTCGTGGCCAGTCTGGTCGACAAAGCAAGTTCCAGGACAGCCATGGCTGTTACACAGAGAAACCCTGTCTTGAAAACCAAAAAATAAAAAGTAAAAATGACCTTAAATAGATGCTTCTCAAAAGAAAACAAGTGGATGACCCGCCAGTGCATGCAGCGGCATTCAGGGCCCTTCACCTGCAAGGAAACACAGATCAAAACTACAGTGAGTTACAGCCTCACACCTGCTAAGACAGCCGCAATAAACAGGCTCTGGCGGGAAGATGGAACCCTTGTTCCTTCTTGGTAGAATGAGAAATGGCGCTGCCTCTATGAAAATAGTGCGGAAGTTTCTCAGATTTAGGAAGAGGGCTCTGGGGCTCATCAAGTCAGTGCTTGCTTGCTGCAGGAGTGTGAGGGCCTGAGTTTGGACTTCCAGCCTCCGTGTTTAAAATATGCTGAGAGTGGCCACCCATACCTGCAATCCTTGTGAAAGATGGGAGGACCCCAGGGACCCACTGACCAGCCAGCCTAGCCGACTGGTGAGCCCTAGGTTCAGTGAGAGACTGTCTAAAAATAATAATAACAACAATAATAATAAAATACATAAATAAAGTGAAGAGTGGCTGAGGAAAACATCTAATGTTGATCTCTGGCTCCAACAGGTATACTCAGAGGCATAAACACTCCCCCCCACCCCACATCTATGAACTATGCATACACACAAAATAATAAATATACAATTTTTAATTGTGTAAGCATCCCACAGGTACATTCATGGGTATACACACATGCTATACACAACACACACACACACACACACACACACACGCACACGCACACTTGAACAGTTACATTTTATATAATAACTAATACATTTTAGTGTGTGTGTGTGTGTGTGTGTGTGTACATAGTGGGCAAGTGCGTGTCTGTGTGCCAAGGAGCCTAGGTGGAGATCAGAAGACAGTTTTCAGGAGTCAGTTCTCTCCTTCAACCATGTGGGCCCAAGGACTGAACTCTGGTCCTCAGGCCTGCTGACAAGGCCCTTTTCTCACTGATCCATCTTGCTGGCCTGGAATCTTGAAGAGCTATTTGCAGCTCAATGCTCATTGGAGTGTTGTGTATTGTTCATAATAGCCAGGAAGTGGCAAGACTGTTGAAGTTCTCCAGTGGGCTTTGAAATGAACAGACATTTACGCTCCTGACTATTTGCACACACTAGTGTTAACACACAGCTCTCCAGGTTAAAAATGGGAAAACTAGGATTTTTTTTTTCCCTACTGGAAACTCCCAACTCCAGATGTGCAGAAAGCATGAACATCTGGAGGCTTATCTTGCTCGCTCTCAGCTCAACTAAGAGGCTCTCTGAGACAACAAGGCAGGGTGGTTGGCATCCAGTGTCTGGGGAAGAAGCAGGTGCCAGCAGGGAGCAGAGCTAAGCAAACCCC